TCGCCGAATGAATGTAAATGAAATTTTAAAGTGATACATATAAAATATAAAATCTATTAACATTTGTTCTAGTTTTTGGAACAATAAAACCAATTAATTTATTAAATCTTGTGTTTTAATGATGTGCAGAAGTTTCAATAATATCTTTCTGTAATCAAACATAAAATACGGACATGCATGTTTAAAGTATAATGCATTTAAATTACTGAGGTTATAATCTTTGTAGACGTTGTAATAGTAAGTATAGCCTTGGCTCGAAAAATATAAATTTTAACAGATAATTAATAGTAATATTGAACTTATTGGGGTGTATATTGTAAGAAATATTATACCATACTTAGGTATCGTAAATCGGACTTATACATAATACATTCACGATACACCTACCTACGAAAGAACGTCTGATTTTTTTTATAAAACAATAATAGGTATTGATAATCGTGATTGAGCTGAATAATTCAATAACGTTAATGTTTTATTTATGATATATTATGCGCACTGAGTCGACGAATTGACTGCAGTCGTATTTATAGGTACACGAGTGCGTGTGACCAGCGGTGATATATTTTTAAAAACGATTTTTAAAGTGATTCGTATACATAATGCGATTTTCATGAGCGACGGGCATCACTCGGGCATCGATCTAATGCACAAAATAATCATAATAATATATTATAATAGGTGCAACTGTAAACTATGGTGCACGCACTAAAATGTGCCTACGATGCACATAGTGCATTTTCCGTTAAATTGGCTATCGGCCGGATTAGTTGATTGTAAACACGTTTCGTGCTCTATTGTTCTTAACAAAGATAATTATTACATTTTGTAATTATTTACATCTAAATCGGCCGTGCCTATGCCGAAACAATTATTTCCGGGTTCGCACTAGGTACTCACCCATATAGTCATCAGAACATATTCTAATTTCTAATCGGGAAATATTTTTTTCGATATTATAGGAACACGAGATCTCGTTGTACCGAAAAAAGCGAAACTCGTTTGTTGGCCTTTATATTTTGTATTGACTTTAAACGAAACGAAAGTTAAGTAGGTATGTATACATTGTTCACGTGTTCGTGTGCACGACTTTTGAAAATATCTTGCACAGCGGATATGACTTTGATCTTGAGATTATGGTCACACCTAAACCAGTAGTTTAGCTTGTAATGTATTATAAATTCGAATAAATCAACGACATTATAAAATGAATAGATGTATAAAACATTTATATACTTACCTCACTTGTGTATTTGCGGTTCAACGAGATTTTACATACACTGAAAATTATATTTTATGGAAATAAAAAATGAATTGTGGTATGACGGTTTTAATAAATTGATTTAAACACGATATTTTTTCAGTTTAAAAATACTATCCGTAATATTGAATTTAAATATTAGTATAATCCCATACTCGAAACTACTAAATATTAATATTATTTTATTTATTTTTGTATGATGAATTGTGGTTTAAGCTATATGCAAAAATTGGCGTAGATGTGGTACCCACTCGTTGTAGGTAGTAGTAAGAAAAAAATTGATTTGCAGTCAAAGAAGAGTTTTGAGTGTAATCATAATTCAACAATTAGGTTTGCACCCAAAAATAGGTCCGATTTATACTCTGTAAACCATTATTTCGACGGGTTTTTGTTATAATATAATATATCTTATGAGTATTTACCTATTTCATTAACTTTTATGCAGAAAACACATGAGCAATTTGTACATTTTTTTTTAATATACTAAACCGTAGCTATAAAATGTAAATAATAATAATTACTTAATGTTTTTAGATTTAAGTTTCAGTTAAGACTTGTATTTTAAATATTTTAAATTTGGAGTAGATTATAGTGACCGTAGTCTGTGGCTTCAATAGATACTATCATAAAAATGTGTACTTTTCTTTTACGTTTTTTAATTAGGTATTAATAACTTCTTACATTTACTTCTAATGTAAAGAATTTTTTAGGTAATATTACATGCTCCGGCAATTTTTTATTTGATAATTTTTAATCATACAAATAATAAATCGAATGAACAATAATTGTGATTTATTATTCGAACAGTGGAAAATGATAATAAATATAATGCCATAAACTATTATGAAGAGATATTTCAACAATATATTTTGTAGCAGGTACGTTAAATTGAATAGGTATTCAATTTAACGCATGTAATATTATGCTGAATTATCCAATTATTCAAACTATTTTTTTTTTTTTTCATAATCTTTTTCATTTTTCAATCGTTAGAGTGTTTTTTTCAACTAATTAGGTTTACATATTATTATATACGATGAACTCTGACACTGAGCAATTTAAAATAATATTTACTCTTAAATTATTTAAAACTCAATTCGTTCGCTGTTTAATGTTTCCAATAATTTACAGTAGGTATATCCTCCAATTAACAGAACTGCCAGAAGCTGGGGTAAATCAATTAATTTAATATAATATATCCAATAAAAATACTATTAAGTATATTAAGTATTATTCATGAGTGTGTTAATTGTTTTGTTTAGATATTTTTTCTCTTGTATCATTTAATTTGTATAAATCACTGCTTCGGTTTGTTGAAATGTGGTTATCGGCATTAAAACATCCTGTCTACATTCGTACACCTCATATAACGACTAAATTATGTAATACTGAATGACGTTTCTCTAAAATATTATCCAACCCCATCGACTGTACGGGGATTGTCGAACTGCACTCTTTACCTATCAAAAAATGTTTGAAGTGCACTTTATCCGATCGATCCATAGAACTTATAAAGCTATGAATATTCATTTTATTTGAAAATTATGAGTGTGACTATTGGTTTAGTATCACATGATGTTATTAGTTTGTTACACAAATTCGAATTTTTATATCATATTGTAACTATTTATTCGTTTTGAAAATAGTATTCATTTTTACATTATTATTTTGAAAAAATAAATATATTTTCATACCATTATTTTGAAATTTTAACCACATGACGGAAGTATGTATATAGGTATTTATTATCATGAAAACAATAAGGTTTAGGTAGCAAAAATACCAATTATTCTTACGTACGTCTGTCTTGTGTACATTTTATGTAATAATCGGTACGAGTGCAATTTGAACATGAAGTACCTTTTACTGTCCTCAGTAAAATTTGACCTTACCATTCTTGTTCGCCCACACAAGCTCATGATATTTTTTTATTTTTTTTTTTAAGCTTCGGCAACTGAGGCCATTAGCTGTAGAGGTTGTGGTACTATAGGGTTACCACGTGTGTGTTTATGATATTTTATAGTATGAAATATGTCACATTGCAGATGGCTTAAATAACTTAATAGTTACAATTCGGTACAAATCAGCATTCCGCTCAATCTCCTTCTTTGCTACGAGTCGCAAATATCATTATTGAATCTTGACTTAAAATTCATAATTTTTAGAAGGGTGTCGTATTATTTTTAAATTGTGTTTAGGTAAGAAGTAAGTTTAAAGTTTGAGGTTAGGCACTGTTAAAATTACCATATTTCATATGGGGAAATACGATTTTGTTTATATCTTTTGGTATAATCAAACTGGCGTTCTACAGATCGAAATTAGTTTGAACCGTTTTTTCAATAAATAATTTCGCTATTAAGTCAAAGGACATAACCACATCAATGACACTGACACGGTATCACTAATATAATATTTTTATAAAATGCTAAAGTATATTTTGAATTGATAAGTTTTAAAATAACTAAAAAAATCATTATATGTTTATATGAAGACTTAATTAAATAGTTTTGAGATACTAAACCACACGAACACTACGTCATGCACCACACAGTGTTCGTTTTTTAAATTTCTTAGAGTTCTTAACTGGTGTCACTTATACAATAATTGTTAGCCAATAGGGACGTTTTATAAAGGTTATTCATCGATCGAACTCGCCCCTTTTTCTTTCTTAAGTAATGCAGTTGCCTATTCAAAACCCAATTTTTGGAATTTTGTATTAATGTAAGTACTTAAAGATCATACATTCAAATTGTTTAGATTTTTTTTGCTAGGAGTGTCCTGTTATGATAAAAATGTTGTTTATAAACAGAAATGTACAAGATTTAAATTAAAAGAAACTATTTAGTATATATTTTTTCTGAAATTGTAATATATCAAGATCAAAATAAATTCGAACTAGTAGTTTTTGAGCTATTCGACTTTTGCGTTTAGGTATTAAGGGGATAACAAGTCCACGATGATTATTTTAGAAGATATAGCCATATAGGTTACTGTGGTTTGAACATTTTAGTAATATAAATACATTAACGTTTAAAATTTGTAAAAATTTCCCAAGTATAATGTACTTAAATACTAGAACCAATATTACGTCTATACATTTTATTTTTTTAAAACCATTTTTAGGTACTGTTATATTTAGTACAAGCATGTACAAATAACTGAGGAACTAATTGTTTGAATTTCGAATTAAATACATGAACTTTTACGAATAATTTATAGTAGGAAATGCGAGTTGTATGTCCTTATTTGAAAATCAGAAGTTTTTATCACAACAGCATACTTCTCAAGTAGGTAGTACAAAAAATCTCAGGAATTTGAAAATATGGTCTTTAAGTTAATTTAAAAACCTTAATTTGAATAAACTCATAATCAAAGGAAACAATTAGAGAGAGGATGTTTTCTGAATCCCCCTGTATACACACACGGCATGAAGGAAAAACTGCCTTTCGCATTTGTTCGTACTTGTCGTTGCTGAAAATTAGTTAGGGTCAGGCTATTGAGTAAAATACGTACTTAAATCTATTCAAATGCGTAGTTTTGGTATATTACGTAATAAACCTATAGGTCTTCAATTTTTGTCTTACAGTTGGAATCGTGTAGATAAATAGTTTAAAATTTAAAAATCCAGATTTTGTTATTTATATCCTGCCGCAATGATTGCAGAGGCTGATTGTACCGAACTCAGTTCGATACGGTATCGGTTGATGATTTCACAGAAATTTTTTTTTTCGGTATACAGGATGATCCAACGAGCTTTTCGATCGGGGCACATAGACATCAACTGCGTCGACTCTTTTGGTCGAGGTGCCATCAATCTAGCGATCGAAGCCGAAAATTTGGAAATGCTCGAAATGCTGGTGGTAATGGGCGTGGGGCCCAAGGACAATCTGTTGCACGCCATCAATGCCGAGTTCGTCGAGGCTGTGGAGCTCCTTCTCCAATACGAGGAATTGGTGCACACGGAAGGCGAACCATACGTGAGTGCAGATTGTGAAACGTATAATTTTTTATTCAATTTAACTTGCAAAGTTGTCATTTCCTATCTGTCAAAAATTTAAAATCGATTTAGGTCAGCACTATTATTATCCGTTTGGAAGCATCACCATATTATATAATATATTCTCAAAACATTTTACGACAACTGTATAAATAATATTGCATAATTGAGAAATGCATTAAATAATATTCTGATTACACGCGGTGCATACATTATATGTATAGGTGTTCTGTTCATAATACGATATATTATTATAAAGGTAAGTGGTGGTTATTAAGATTTCATGTTATTTGTTTGTATAATAAAATATTATAATCAAACTGCAACTGTTCATTATTATTAGAGACAATTAATAATTTAACCTTGTCATTATTGCGTTCAATTATATTAATAAAATAATAACATTGTTGTTATTATTTACAAATAGTGTTAGTTGAACAATTTATATTTATATAAACATTAATTTTAATGATATGTATTTATTATTTATAAACAACCTATCTAATTTGCGCTCCTTATTACGGTTCTTCTCAAATTCCATATTACATTGCCACTATCGGTAAATCGGAAGTAGCAAAAACATTAAAATGCAGTTCATTCTAATTTTCAAAAGCCATTAATAAATGCATACTTAGCTGTCTTTTTCGTTTGAATAATGACAGCGCTATTACCTATAAGTAATAAAATGTCAAATGGTTAACGAAAATGTTTTATTTTCTTATGAATTTGATACCGCAGATGATCCTAGATTGTCAATTAAAAAACGGTTATCTAATACATTTTCACCCAATATTGACCGATTGACAGTATTATTATATTACTCTTTCTCCTCATCTGCCTCAAAATCACATTAGGTTATCCATAAATCAGACTTCTGCACAAACACTCATGTCCTTTCAAAAATTCAAAGGCATCGGGCCTCTTACTGGACAACTCTGTTGACTTCCTTCACGCCACCACGAGTTTGACCCACTGACCAGTAAGACCAGTTTACTATACTATAAATTATAATATAGTTAAACTGATACCGACGTCCGACAATAATAAGGTGTAACCTGCAACATTGTTTATACAATTATACAGAACATAGAATTAGATATTTGTCGATTTCAAAATACAGATTGTTTTAATTCATAATCGCGCAATATCCGTGAAGTTGGTCGTTCAACTGTTTTCAAGCATTTTGAAAATCACGCTCAACTTCACGGACACAATCGCGTGCACGTAACTTATCATGGTAATATTTTATTAGAGTTGGGAAAAAGTTGATTGGAACACCGCTTGTTTCACTCCTGACATCACGCCGCTCATTTTGGCCGCACACAAGAATAACTATGAGATCATCAAAATGTTGCTGGACCGAGGAGCAACACTTCCGATGCCGCATACAATCAAGTAAACCTATATTAGCTTTAAGTGGACCCCTCCCCTCATATTATTTTGTCTCCGTTTTACTGCAATATACGTGTGACATTTCGGATTTGCGTTTAACCAGTGGCCTACAAATAATTTCTCAGTTTTATTTTTTTTATTGTCATGACTGTCCCCCCCCCCACCCATTCCGATAACTTGGACGTACTTGGAGAGGGAGGGTGGCCCTGACCTAGTGCTTGGTTCAGCAGTTACGGTTTTGTGTTGTTAGCTTTAATATTTATATCACGCTTAAAGGTAAGAACATTTATAGGAGGTATATTGTGTCCCCTTGTTGGGTTTTTATGATATTTCAGTTTCTAAGCAAATTATAAGACGAATAAGCTCCTAGTTAAAAATGTAAATATTGTGTGATGTTCATAGTCCTTACCTTAATGTTTGATAATAATAAATAATAATATGTAATTTACTCTATTATAATATTAAATTTAACAACACAAAAGTGAAACCGCTGTAAGCAAATTGCCCACGTCTTAAATTTGTTAAGACGGTGACAACACGTGGTGTGGTTCCTCTTTTAAACGTTATTTAGTTTTTACCTATATTAATCGCGTATTCTGAAACTTCGCTTGCTCATTCCGCCAACTGTTCGACATGTATTTTTCATTCTTTCTCCCGATTTGTCTTCTGTTATCTTACTATTATATTATATACATTATATAATCAAACTATTTTTTACTAGATAAATTCTCTTATCTTCAATTATCCGCGTCCTTAAATTGTTTGAACTACATCTCATGCCCACCACTCAATTACTACACATATTGTACTATTACGTCATGAATACTATATAATGTCGGTGTTGTCGGTAACCGTTACAACTGTTTAAACTTATAGACGGCTATACATGCATAATATTATAAGCATACAGAGTGGCTCATCATCAGTTGCTGCAGACTAGGTCATATTATTGTGAGAATGAAGGGTACATTAAACGTCAAAGTAGGTAACATGGTTTTTATGGATGATATTTGAGGAACTTGACCCCGGTGAGTGAAATTACTTGAACTACAGAGAAACTTCATTCAAACATCATTCGTACGCGTTTAAAAGTTATATGTAATATGTAAACGGTGTGGTTGTGAAGACATTGTCACCAAAAAGTTAATATTATGTGCCTACACGTTAATTACTTTTGATCAGATTACATGCAGACTTACAGACGCTGTGGCATTATTCATGTCATCGGCTAGTCCATTAAACCATATCAGTTACACTTACTCCGAAACACAGGTCCAATAGTTATATAAATAAATCTTCCGTAACACTTTTTAAAACTATTATTTTCAATAGTCTCAACGTTTCAAGTATAATATAGTCATCGCATTCAAATAGTACATGTGTTGTTGTGTAGGTATGGATTGTGTGTCATCGATAAAATAAAAAGTATGGAGTGTGTATCACAGCGATGGTTATATGATTCAAAGGTCAAACTACTAAAAGAGAATGAAAGTTACCTACCATTTAAATTTTAGCGTTTTAAGTACCCATGTACGTAGGTAATTATATTGCACGTGAGTGGGTTAAAAATTAAATTGGTGTATGTAATCTATCGAAACGATATTATATAGTTTCTCAAATATTGGAAAACAATTATATTTTAATTTGCATGGTTACTATACAGTGTGATTCAATAAACATGTCCTATATATCCTTAATAATGTAACCACCTATTCAAAATCTGAATTTTGGAATTGTTTAAGACCACACTTAAGAAATTCTGAAGAAGTTTTGTTCTGTTTAATAAGTGTCATTGGAGATACATACTTCTAATTCTCAAATAAGAACCCCCCCCCCCCATTTTCACTATAAATGATATAGGTATAGTGGTTAATATTTTAAAAAATGTTGATGTACCTCACACACAATTTGAACGAGTATTTGCTCAGTTATCAAATTGTTTATTCAAAGGATAATAGTCCTTAAAAATGTTTAAAAATAAATATAAAGTGAAGATGATAATCGGATCTAGTATTTATTATGCTTAGGTTCTTTTCACACATTTTTAATATTAATAGAATGATCACTACAATTTTAAAATCATCTTATAGCCCTATATCTTCCAAACTCATTTTATACATATTATTCACAGTACATATTAAGTTAGATAGCTGAAAAACTCCTAGTTCGAATTTTGATTTTGATACGTCAAAAAAATTATTCACTTAATAATTCACAGTAGAAAAGGGGGTTTCTCATTTTAAAAACAGAAGCTTGTAATTCCCTCTGAACACTCCTTAAGTAGGTATTACAAACAATCTCGTTAATTTGGAAACACAGTTTAAGTATGTTTAAAAATTCCAAAAATCAGATTTTTAAAACTGCATTATTGAAGAACAAAATCGGAGCGTTAACATGGTTTTTGAATCACTCTGTATATATTATGCAGTAACCCAAAGGAAGCTCGTTTAATGATTTATATTGACACGTAAAATCATGTAGGTACACTATTTTATTTTTTTATACAATTGAATGTATTATTTATTTTATATTTAGACAGGTACATAGTTTTCTGATAAAAGTATTTGATACTTCTTATATTTACGTAAATAACGTATATTTTATTGTTTTTGTCAATACCGAATTTAACCGTTATTTAAATACGAGTAAAATAATAATATTATATTCTCGAATTAACGACCGTTAGTTTTAAAATCGCGTTGTTAATAATATTAATTAAAAACCAAACAACTGGATCACAGTATCACACCCAATGCTACAGGTTCCTTCCTTGAAATATATATTAATTATAAGTACCTCACAACCCGTTCGTCAAAATAAGTGTTATATAATATTTATCAATTTTTTCAATTTTATCTATCAGCTCGTTTCTAATATGTATTACTTTTAAATTGTTATGATTATACAGTACACAAGCTACATCACCAATTTAAATGTCTGTAACATTAGTACTAACTACTCATACAATTAACGTATGTTATCGTTTTTACATACGTCATTATGCTAGGACACGGAAGAAGATGACTTTTTAATTAATGTAACAGCTTAGACAATGTTTTTTTAGCTAAAAAATGTGTTCAATATTATTCGAATCAATATAACTATTTTTTAGTTAGCATTTTCCGAGCTTTTCATTAAATTTATAATTTTATGTTATTCTTAACGCCAATTGAAAACATTTAAATCAGATAAGCTTAATGACATTTTAAAATCTAACAAATAAAATATATTTTTAATTATGACATGAAAGTAAAATTGTTCTATTAATTACGTTGTATTTTATTTCTTAATGTAAACATATTTTGTTTTATGGTTAACATATTTATTATGATTATAATAATATTAATTATAATTTATATATTATATTAGGTATATCATGATGATATTATTGTGACGAAATCGAGAAAACGAACGATGATAATGATAATAATAACTTTTTATTAAGGTGTGGATGTGAGAAGTGCATTACATCTTCGAAAATGGATTCGTTGCGATACTCGATGTGTCGAGTGAACGAATATAGAGCACTGGCCAGTCCGTCACTGATCGCACTCTCGTCAGCCGATCCAATACTCACGGCGTTCCAGTTGTCGTGGGAGCTGAGGAGATTGGCCAGAATCGAAAAAGAATTCAAAAACGAATACTTGGTAAACGCATTTCCAAACAATAAAATCGCAAGTGCAGCCATACTATTGTTAGATTTCACGGGAGAAATAAAACCGCCACCCGACGACTTTTCGTTATCACTGCCATGGACGCAAACGCTTTTTTTTTTTACATTCTGGGCAGAAAAAACTTGATGATAAATGTATTGATCTTACAATGAACTGTGTGGGTGTGTTTTTTGCGTATGGAGTAGAAAAAATGTAAATTTTCGATTTTCAACTTCAATACCATTTTTCTGTTAGGAAAGTGAATCTAGTTAGTAATTTTGGGCGGTCAGAATTAAAAATTCCCAAAACTTTTCAAAATAATCGACAAAATATATTTTAGAGAAACACGAGTATTTTTTGGTAAAACTTGTTTTCAACTCGGGTGCCCTAATAATTCATAGTAATAATAGTTAATTAAATAACGAATAACAGTAGATACCTACTTGCAATTTCATCAAATGTTTATATTGGCATTTTCGATACATGGTATAGTCAAGGTTTCTAAGAATATTTTACTACGGCTATTTAAAAATATTAAAGATATACAGACATGATTTTTTTAATAGCATTTGAAGTATAAGACTATTAATAAAATTCGTCGAAATCACGAAAGATTTCAAATAATTTTGTAGTTATCAATTTATAAAATGTTCATATTTTATAGCCAAGACTTGAAAATGGAATTCATAGTTCTCCTTTTTTTAAACATTTAAGTTCTAATTTGGACAAAAAACAAAGATTTTAGTTATTTTTTTGCAATTCAAAAATATTATCCAATGAAACTTTTACACATATTATTATATTTTACAATATAAAATATAGTCATTGACTGATTGTGTATATAATATTATGCACAAATACATAATCAGTCAATGACATTTTCTAAACGTTTAGATTAATTTTAAAATATAATATTGCTTATTTATAACACGAACCTAATCACACCGTTCTCCGATAAGTCGGTAGTAGCTCAAAAGTTAATAATAATAATCATTATTATTGTGTATAATAATATTGATAACCTTCATATATATTCTGTTATAAATTAGAATAATATAATAATATAATATAAGTAATAAATTCAATGTTTTTGGCCCAAATTAATTCAACCTACTAATAGAACAACAAATTAGGTACTATTATAGCAATATAAATATATCATAAAATATATTAAATTACACTAATATAGCTTGCTCAGAATAATTTTACCTATGAAATATGCAATTTACATCACAATGACTTATACGCTCAATGACGAGTGTATACCTCTGTATACTGTAGTACATCGGTGGTCATCTATTTTTCATCCTTTTTTCATCTTTAGAGTTAAAGTTTCTTAATTTTTTTTTCGTATTTTCGAAACATAATTTCCTTTTATAAATAGTTATGAGATTATTAAACGAATTATAATTTATAAGAATACTCGAAGAAACTTTTTGTTTTAACCATCTATTGTGTCCGAAAAATTAAAATGCCCATAAATATAGCTCTCAGCCCATACTGTAGAGGTTATCGTTGAGTTAAAGCGATAAAAAATAAAATTTCATTTCAAATTGTATATTAATATAAACTTACTAAAATGAGTTGCCTCTGAGAAAGATAAAGATCATCATCATAAATGTTCACGTCTGTGTATAGAGCAAAATATGAATTACGATTTTAAGAATATTTTTATATGGTAAAGTAAAGTAAAATAAAATAATCTATGGCTATAGTTAGCTATGAATTATGATTGACATTATTGAATCGAAAATATTCCACCGAGAATCTGATTGGAAATACAGCATGGTATTATATTTCATAATTTTAACAAAATTAACGTAGATAGAGATAATACGATCATATCTGTTGCCAGTGTGATGTATAGTGAATATTAAAATAAGGATAAACCAACCCTAATCAGTAGGTAGGTACCTACTTATTATAATAGTATAACATTTATTCACAGGTCAAATAAAAAAAAAAATACAGCATTTATAAATTATATGTTTCTAGATGACTTATTTTAACATCGTCCGAACGCGTATCACAATTTTTCCTTCCCGAGTACTTTAAATTTTCACTTCTAACATTTTCTGAAAACGTTGAAGCCTTATTTTAGACAAACTGCAACTTTATATTCAGTCAAACTTTCATTTTGTCAACTCTTGCATTCATAATAATATTATAATAACTTTAATATTTTAACCCTAAACTTGGCAAGAATAAAAAAAACATATGCAAATTCTGTAATATTATCATTTTCACTAATTAAGACCCGTAGATTTCATTTTTGACGTTTTTTTTTCTTTTTCAGTTAACAGTTTTTGAAATATTGTTTGTATCTTTAAGGATACATTACTCCATCAATGCTAATTTGATAATTGTATCTCCAAGGATACAGTACCTAAGTCACCCTAATTTGATATTTGTTTCTTTAAAGATACAGTGCCTCGTTTAACCTAATTTATTATTTGTATCTTTAAAGATACATTATCTCATCGATGCTAATTTGACACTAAATAATTATTGTCAAATCCGTTTTACAAAATCAATATTATTTAAAATGTTATAATTAAAATAATTAAATACAATTAAGTTTACTTTAATATAACATTTATTTATTTTTCAATATTATATTTAATATTATACATAATAATAATACAATAGTCTTTTATTATATAAACCACTTTAAGTTGAAGTAATAAACTAATACAATTAATAATAAATATAAAATAAAGTTTTTGCTTGTCTTGCACATTTTTTAAAATAAAATATTAATAGCTTATTTAATATAAGAAAAAAACAATATTAACATATCTTTATTCAGCCTTGTGAAATGAATAAAAACAATTTCTTTCTTTTGTTAAGCATAATCTTAATGAACACTTAGAACAACTAAAAACCGTTTGACCTTTAGTACAGTATGTACAACGTCCTTTGGTATTATAAATTGGAAAATGATCTATATTATCCAAACGACTTTCTTTTGGTGGGGCCTCTATTGGCATGGCTTTGCGTTTACGTTTTGATAATATTAGGTTAGTTGATGGTCGACCAATACTTGATTGCGCTAGAAGTGATTTTGCGATTTCATATCGGAAATGTTTAAGTTGTAAGGTTCCTTGTTGGTTATTATTCAATTGTGAATAATGTCTTCTATATAAAAGCCATGCGTTATTGACACCAATGTCCAGAAGCTGTGAAAAAATTGCAAGATACCACCTGTGCGATTTAATACCTGTACGGTACAATGAAACGAACATGTCTGCCAGATCTACACCACCCATATGAGAATTGTATTCCTTGATTACTTTTGGGCATTTCACATTAACTCTTTCCTTTTTATTTTTATCATATCGACTAACAGTTTCTGAAGGTGCTGATGTTGAAATATATGAATTAACTATAGTGACGCATTTGTTATCGGCCCATTTTACTACTGAAATTTTATTTTTATTGTCAGATTTTGTTTCATAGCTTCCTCTTCCTTTTTTTAATAGTGGTTTATCTGCTATAATATTACAACCACGTAAACGGTTTTGTTGAATTGTGCCAAGACTAAGAATGCCAAATGATTTTCTTAAATATGTTACAAGTTCTAAGGAAGTAAACCAGTTATCAAAACATACTACACTAAGTGGTTTACTGGGAATAGATTTGCATAACTCAATAATTACTTTTTGGCCTAAACCAAAATACATATTTTCGTATTCTGTGAATGATGTTCGATGGAATGTATTTTCACCGCCATAAGGTAAAAAATCATACACAAAACCATCTATTCCCGATCGGACAAACATTTTGAATCCCCATTTTTTCGGCTTATTTTTTATATATTGCCTTCTCGTACCCGCTTTAATCCCTTTATAGGGAATCATCATTTCATCTATAGAAAATTGGGACCCTTGATCAATTTCCAAACAATTTTTCCTTACGTGTTCCAAAATTGGCCTAACTTTATAATAACGATCTTCGGTATTTAATAACGAATTGTCTACAAAATGTAAATTTCGGCGTAATAATTGAAATCTTTTCAAGTTCATCACATCAGCAATCTTATTGTATCTAAAATTTATTGACCAATAATCTGTATATGCTGGCATAGAAACAATACCCATGATTAATTGTATTCCAATAAAATGTTTTATTTCATTTACATCGGTGTCGATGGGTATAGATTTTTGACTTCCATACAAATTCGTATTTTCTACAATTATATTAAATATTTCTGGCTTAAAAAATAAAGAAAAATATTCAATGGGAGCCAGTACATTATCTGGTTTATTTTTAAACACATTAGAAGGAATATCTACAGGATACTTGAAATTATTTGACCACTTAAAAGTCATCTTTTGTTTTTTTTTGTTTGAAGAAGTAGAAATAATTTTCGGAGGTTCCACGGATTGTACAAAGGATGATGGAACTGAATCAAACGAATCTACACGTTCAGCTAATCTAACTGACTTTCTAGGTCCAGAAGATGATGCTGTTGAGTTATGGGACAAATGAGAATTGGGAGATATAATAGATATTGGCGTACTTGATAAAATTAAATTATTACTATCTTGATTACACATATTTACTGGTTCAGCAGATGTACATAAATTTTCAGGTATGGGGCACAAATCTAATGGTAAAATGTCATTGCTTTGTAAAAAATTTTGTTCTGGGTAAAAATAAGTATCTAAATTTACCCCAGCATCATCGTAAATTGGTAAATCGTCTAAATTTTTTATAATTTCTTCAAGGTCCCGAACTGTAGGGGCACTTGATGTATCACTATTACTATCACAATCGGGGTCAGATAAATGTGTGTTATCAATTTTTGGAATAGGTACTTCTAACTCTTCTTCACTATCAGAACTTTCTGAATCTAAGGGTGGCAATACAGCCATCATCATCTTTTTTGTTCTACTTGAAACGTTACGATGCATTTCTCTAAGAAAATAATAATAAAGAACTATTTAAAATGAATTAGATATGTAGAACAAGTACGAGTAATATAGGGCAATATCATTAATTTCAGAATAAGAGACAATTTATCTTTTTAGATACAGTAAAACATTTCGGGCTAGCAAGTAATGTATCTTTTTAGATACAATAACAAATTTTGGAGTAGGAAGCCATGTGTCTTTTTGGATACAGTAACACATTTCGGAGTACAAAGCACAGTGTCTTTTTGGATACACAATATTTTATGCTAAAGTAACTAAATAAATAACTAAGTGATCAACTTTATTTGAGTAAAAATAAAATATATAGACGTACCTGAAGAAGTTTCAATAATTATTTTGAATCAGAACGGCTTTAAAGCTATGGATTAAATGAGATAAAAATGAGTCAGCAGCTCAAATTATTAAAACAACTGATAGTACATTTTTAGATAAAGCATAATAGATAATGTATGGCGCGGAAAGCTGTAAATTGGTAACAATAATGATAGTGGACTTCCAAAGACATTATAAAATATAATGGTCAATATAATATATTTTATATTTACGATAAAATTATAGTTCTTATATGATGTATCTTAAAAGATACATCGCCAAGTTTAGGGTTAAAAATGTTTTCAATGATGATGGTTCATCTTTTCATGTACCTACCTAATACATAGGAACTCCGACAACAATGTGAACAATTCGCTGTTGATCTGCTCGGGCAAACGCGAAGCTCCTACGAATTAGATGTGATTTTAAAGCACGACTCGGAAAATGCACCAACCACAGGATCCTCAAAACTAAGACTCGTCGAACTTGCAATAAAATATAAACAAAAAAACGTAAGTTCGTAATTGATTAATTATAATATTATTAAACATGAAAAATCTTTTGATATTTTGGGAGTTCTAATATTTTATTTAATAAACTAAAATACATAATAAGTATGTCGCATATCTACTATACTAACGTTTCAAGATCAATAAATAAAATATTATTATTGATACTATTTTGAAGATAATATTATATTTATTAGCTCAAGCATTGAAAATAAGTCAATAGTAGGTTAATAGAAAATATTTTGATGTGTCTCGCAGTTTGTAGCACATCCGTATATACAACAACTTTTGGCAACCGTCTGGTACGAAGGTCTTCCAGGATTTCGTCGCCTACGACTTTACAAGCAAATAATTGAAATCATCAAAATCGTCTACTTTTTTCCATTCTACTGTCTTGTGTACTTATACGCACCCGGCGCTCAGATTGGAAAAGTAATGGAAAGACCATTTATGAAATTTTTAATTCATTCATCTTCGTATCTATCATATTTAGGTAAGTTATAATGTAATATATCACACGCATACAACAATATTAGCAGATTTAAACAGTGCGTTTAGAATTTTTAGATAACACGACCATACGACGTAGGTTTACTACGCTCGTTCTTAGTTATTACGTATTAGAATTGTTTGACATTTTTTAAAAAATTTTTAACAATGCAGGTGAATTTTTTCCGTAAGCGATAAGTCCTCTGTATGTTTCCAATCGCTGTATTTGCGGTGGCTTAGAATGTACTTAGAAGTACTTTTTAAATTACAAGACTTTACCACACTGTACTTATCAAATCGATAACTATATTTTGCATCGTAGTAATAGTTTAGGTTTTACTTTTAAAATTTATCTCACGATTAAAATTTTTCTTTTACCATTTTTTGTATATTATATCAGCTATTGATTTCTAAATTCTCAGTTTTTTTCTTTATACTCATTTAACCGAATTTCTGTGAAAATGTCTTAGATACCCGCCAAGCTCAGCTGCCACCATATCGCACTACTATTGCTCTAATTGTCTTTTAATCTAAACACACGAATACCCTTTAAAGCTATCATTTATTAGTTATTAATTCAATGTTCGATGTCTAAGGATTACACAAAATGTCGTTAGTATTTAAAAACTATTACCATCGATGTGTTGCACTTGCAATGAACTACGCTAATGTATTGTAAGCATTTGTACATAAAATATGTCGTCTGTGCATATAGTTACTATTGGTCTTGCAGTCGTTCTAAGTAACGAAAATATAATGCAGACATTTAATTTAGGAGATATACCTGTCGATGTTCGATATCGTTTTACTATGCCAATACTTAATGATCATTTTCTTGGTTAATTAATGTACGCGCTGTTCCTCTTTGTGTCTACAAACCTATTTATATAGGCAAGCCTGAGTATAAACGAGTTAAAAGTTAAGTTTATTTTAACTTTTTAAAATTGAATTTTCATTAACATAATTTTTAACTTAACTGATTTTTATTGATATAAACTTAATAAATAACGAGTTGTTTTTAATCAAATCCGATTAATAATTAAATAATATTATTATTGATGATATACTCGTATATTGCATAAACATTTACTTTTTATTGTTTTAAACCATATAACTAATTTAAAAAAAAAAATAATAAGTTAATTATAAGTTTTCAAATAACTCTTAACTTAACTGAGTTTAAAAAATATATAAATATCTTTCACAGGGAGTATACAATTTTATTAGGTTTCCGTTTTAACTTATAAATTGATAAATATTATCAAAACTATTTTTAAAAATACACTTTTATTTATTTTATATCAAAAACCAATAATTGGCGAAATAAAAGTAAAAGCGTCAATACTTTCCTTGTGGATTTATACTATCACATCGCATTGTTGCTCGTTGAACAAAAATTACGCTCAACAAAAAATATAGGTCATATCACAAACAGTCCAATATTATGTAAATTTGAATTTTCCGATACACACAATGTAGGTGCGACGTGTATTACATCGTACAATATTAATTGACAAACCATCTCTACAAAACAACTGCAGAATAATAAATATTGTGAAATTCGTTTACCTTCGAATAATTAATTATACCTAGTTCATTGGTTTTGAACTTTATTGGACTCGCAAGTCGCAATTCATTTTAGTCTTAATACATCATTTTTTGTGACCCATGTTTCAGTTCCTTGTTTATATATATGTATACATTTACATTTTTTTAAATTTATTTGTTGGGTTCAATCACTGATTGGCCTCCCTCCTAATATCATTCATCGTAATTGTAAATAAATTATCATATTTACTTATTGTGTCATTCTAACACAGATTGTAAATATTCTTAATAAAAAAAAAATTTAGTAATTAATTTAGTGCATTATTTTTATGTTTATTTTATTTGTTTCGTAAAATTAAATTTAACACACACACACACATATATATATATATATATACATGTATATTTACAAAATAAATGTACATTTTTTTTAACTATTAAAAGTATATCACGCCCCAATACATGTTGGGTTGTGACCCACTGGTTGAAGATAACTGACCTAGTTCATCAGTTCATGCCTGCATTTTAAGCTATGGCATTATATTTAAGCCTGTAATTAACTAATACGTATTTCCTAGACACGGACAATAACAACCCAGTGGTGCTAATAAATAATATTATTATAATTTATTTATTTATATAATACATCACGTCACTCGATTGTCGTTATGCTCGGGTCGTAATAGACGGTAAATGTATTTTATGGGCATAAATCCCCAATATACAATCAAAATAATTAAATTGGTAATCAATTGCACACTAATTAACGAAATAAATCAAAATAACAAAACTCGTAATACTGTATTCATAATAAACTACAAAAACAAAGTTTAAATTTAGATAAATTAAAGTATAAATATACCTACATAGTTACAAATAATATAAAAATTAAACTAATAAAATAATCAGTTTATACAATTTGTTGAGGTAATAAAAATTAAAAAATTAATCATAATGTGGTTTATATAATTCGGGCGATGATAATAAAACTAAAAATAAAATTATCATATGGTTAGGGAAAGATTTCAATATTTGAGAGTGTTTCCGTCATGTGCACAACTATAAGACCAGCAATCTATATTTTATAGCGTATATATCCAATATCCATAAAGGAAATTATACAATTATAACGAGATTATATACAATTTTTTTTCACATTTATATGATTACTTTTGCTATTTTGGTAAAAAAAAAAAAAAAATGAAACACAAGTCACTTCTATTAATATCTACGCACGAGGAAGATTTAGGTACAATTGTTGAGCACGTAGATGACGTGCGTAAATTCTATACCGTTCGATGACAGAATAACACTTATATATTTTACATAATAATTATATTCATACTATCACATTTAAAGATATTTAAAAAGAGATAAAGTTCTACGGTATTATTATTTATTATCATTTTTTAGGGGTGGGGGGCATTCGTGCAGCAGTTGATCTACTGCAGTAAAATGATATAATAATTTTGTATAAATAATTAATTGACCTACCGGTGCCAAGTATGAAATACACGTCTTGCATTTGCAGTAAAATGTTGTTAAAACAAGATCACTTATTATTAACAGTAAGTTATTAACATTACTGTAGTACCTACTCGTTAAAATTACGATATTTATAAAAAATCCCATGTAGACACTATTTAGGTAAAAAATACATAAATATGTTTGACGAGCTCCTGGGAATGCCCCCCCCCCCAAGCGATCTACCACATTTTTTCTGAATAACTCTTTTTCCATAGGCACATATTAAAATAGTGATATTTATCATACTTAATTATTATAAACAACCAATAAGTATAATTAAAAATTTCAATATAAATTTATAATGCCTATAGTTTTTAAAACTGTTTACTACAAATTATGGTCCCACAATTCCACTACAGTGAATAACTATTCAATTATATTTCGTTACAACAAATTCATTACACATTGTTTGAAAATACCAATAATAATCAGGAAGGAAAAATGTGAACGCATTTAAAAAAAGATACAAGTCCGCAGTGATAGGTAGACCATGTACTGCCATATAATAATAATAGTAATAGGTACATGATTTTAATTTTAACCCGTTTATATTGCATAAATTATGATTAAGTACGGGACCACAATATAATATTATTATGTTTGGAATTCGTTTAGTATTTTCAAACTTAAAAAATAACAACAAAATACATATTTTGGTAACATCATCCACGTGATATTAACCATCGACACATTGTGTTATATTATACTTGTTTTGTTTTTCTATAGGTCTATTGGTACTGGTGTCGCAGAGGGCCGAAACACAGTTTATAGAGCTCTTCGGGTCCGAGTCTATGAACAAAAGTCTGCGACTGCGACAACTCCGCCAACGCGGCAACGGACCGTCGTACATAGAGCTCTTGATTTTGCATTTTGTCATCGGTAAAAATATTTTAAAGTTTTTCTTTCATTAATTATTATTGCATACTTACTGCACAGAAATATTTTCAATCAAACCTTATCAATTAAGTACTCTGGTTTGTAGCTACTGTTCTATAATATAGTCATCCCATACGTCTTGTAAGTCCTGAGAAATCGGCGAAAGGAACTCAAATGTTTGTGTTCACAACATTTGCGTGGCACCTGGTGTGTAGGCGCAAATGTCAGAAATTCTCATAATTTTCATATTACATTGTTCGCAACTAGAAAACGATAGATTGACGACATCATCCCAATATAATATTACTCGGCGTTTTTGTAACGGCAGTCGACCAATTGGGTGGGGTTTCTTATTATAATTATTGCTGCAGGATACATCTGGCAGGAGATACTTGACGTACGCAGGGACGGCCTGAAGAGGTACCTGGCGCACAACGCATGGAATTACGTGGAATTTGCCAGGAACAAGATGTACGTGACGGTGATCGCGCTGAGAGTTTACGCTTACGTGACTGAAAACTCACAAATACTGGCCGACCCGTCTTCAGCGTTCATTCCCAGGGAGAAATGGGAAACTTTCGACCCTCAACTCTTGGCCGACGCCCTGTTTGCCGCCTCCAACATACTGAGGTGAGGATTTTGTCGGTGCTGCAGTTTTCTCCGCGAATTCGTCAACACTATTTTACCACAATAATATATCGTCGAAAAATACGATTGGTTTTTTCATCTCTCAACAACGAGTTTGGATCAATTTAATAAACGTACGATTTCGCATCGTACAGGTAGTAGGTACACGCCTGTATACGGTGTGAGATATAATATTGTTGTACTTTCAACGATAATATCATTGAAATATTGGCAATATTATATTGCTATTACTATTTACTAGCAACTTAAAAATGATTTAACGAAACCAAGTTTATTCAATCTTACGATAAATAATAAAGAGAGTTTTGTACGAATTGCTATCCCACTTAATGGTTGTTAATTGTCACCTATTGGCTATTGCCAACGTTTTTACTCAAAATCGACTTATATAATATTCAAATTATGTTTTGTTTGCAGCGCTTTAAAGCTGATCCATATGTGTTCAATAAGTTCACATTTGGGACCATTACAACTGTCGTTGAAACGAATTCTCATCGATATACTCAAGTTCTTCAGTATTTACAGTTTAGTGTTATTTTCATTCGCGTGCGGACTCAATCAGTTAATGTGGTATTTTGCCGATCTGGAACGGAAAAAATGTTATAGCTTAATAGAAGCCGGATCGGGTGAGTCGTGCTCGAAATGGAAGAATTTCGGAAAGTGAGTCATTAAATAGAAATACGTATTAAATAGTTAACCGGTGTCGGATGAAAAGTCAATAGAATGGATACTAAAAGTATTTTTTTTTTATAAGTTTGTTAGCTACTATTTATAACTTGATAGTTATCTACACAAAATAAAATTGAAAGTTCTAGAACATTCACGTAAATGTTATTTACTAGGTGGTTTTTACGATTAATAATCAAACATAATTATTAAGAACACAATACAAATAGAAAAAATAAAATACTTGTGTAGTAATTATTAGCCTATTGACCCAAATACAGAAACAAGTATGTGTGGTATAGGTTTTTTGAGATAGATTGATAATATAATCAAAACGTCGATAGCATAGAAATTAAAACATATTTGTGTTAAAATTATAATGATTTTAAATCGTACAACTTAAAAAAAAAATATTAAATATAAAATTATGTATTTATTGCTAAAGGATTGGTACTTATAAATGTAATGAAAATACTTTATGATATTTAAAGAGATTTTATTGATTTTAATATTATTTACTTCTATCGTAGGTACCTACTGTTAATTACTATAATACACCTCTGCGTATTGCTTTTCAGTATAGAAACATGACGGTATTAATAGTTGATACTTGTAAATCTTAATTCGGCCCAAATGATTTCTGAAACGGTTTCTGCAATTCTACTATCAAACGGGTTTTCATGGTTAAACTGATTATAGAGGCGTTGAGCATTTTTTGATTTTGATATTTCCCGTTGTCAGTTCAAGATTCAAGTCAAAGGTCTTAACTATAAAGTATATATGGTATATTATACTCACACAGTCACACATCAGTGAGTATAAAAACAGTGTAAGCTGTGCCCACGCCCGTTCTCTGTGTACTGCAATCATCTACTCATATGATAATTGTACATCGAACCATTTAGCGAGCTTTAAAATGATCAATCATCGTTTTCAGGCATTGTTCATACCTACTAAGCCGATAATCGATAGGGTACCAGTTATAACGTCAACCCCAATTTCGCTTTGATAATTGTTGATTAGAACCGTTTCATTTTAATAACACCATTAGTTTGATATACAATTACGCCTTTTTTTAGAACAAGGTCGAACTTCATGTTTACGTGATAAAGAATATTATGATAAATGGCCTTATTAATTTCTAATTATGATTTGTATTAAAAACAAAAACTACGTCGTATATTAATTGTCAAACAAAATATTCGCTTCATTGCCCGAACGAATGAGGGATTTTTTCTGTTAAAATTAACTGTTATACATACTTATGCCATGTCAAGATTCCGTTTTTAACAGTGTAAAATGTTAATACTCTCAACTCTCAAATAAAATGTTGTCGTACGCAGTACCATAGAAATAGTCTGGCTGAGAAGCACTGTGAAATTTTCTGACAGTAAATGTGATAGGACTTGAATAATATTATTTTAACTAGATATAGAAAAAACAAATATACCAGGAAACTAAAAATCGTAAAATCAAACTGCACGGATTTAACATACATATGCTTGACACCTGCCAGCTACTGTTATTATATTTACAGAAGCTATTTTAAGATTGTACACCGATAATAATATTTCTCTTTGCGTTTAAAAAAAAATGCATAGTTTAAAATACGCTAAAAAAAAAACTACAAGCAATATTCTTATACATTTTAGTTGATGGTAAAAATATTTTGATGTACTTGATTATGTTATTTGATGCACTAGGACAGGAAAAATTAAGATAATTGATAAAGAATATCTTCTGGGAAAAATATATGGTGTGATGTGAAATCATAATAACTTCCTCACGAGCCTTGTACATGTCACGTACAACCTTTTAAAGGTTCATCGTATGTCATAATAAATAAAAAATGATTCGTGGAAAATTCTAGTCTTATGGTGATAACGATGAATTTGCAACAAATCCCTGACTGTGGAATCAAAACGATTTTTACTGGTCACGGTTACGAATAGATAAAACATATTATATGGGTTTGAGCTAGGGTTTTTATATTTTAATTGCTCTTGTTTTGAACAAACAAGCCATTACTATACCAAATTTATGCTTATTTCACTCAATTTGTTTAAGAATTAATTTGTGTTATAGGGTCAAATAGCAATGAAATCGGCTATTATGTTAGATCTCTAATACCAATAGTTATAGATCCCAACTTCTATTGGGGTTTGGATCCGTTCATTGTTTTGATTCATATGGGTTATAAGGGTCTTGGATATATTATGGTTACAAGTCGTGATAAATTATAATAAATTACATAAACCTACTAGGTATTATGATATCATAAATGTTGAAAAATAGTTACTTTGCTAACGGTATAGTACTATAGTGTTTACATAGCATAATTATTATTCAGTTAGTTTTTGCTGAACAATAATTACGATGTACGTGCCGTGGTTCTTACTTAGTAGAGAATCAAAAATATATGCGTCTGAACTCTGAATTTAATATAATAATGTATTGTTATGTGATGTTTGTGTTAATGATTTGTTCTTTGAGTGAATTATTGTTATCTGCATGATTTATATTCCGTCTGATTTAATTTTTTATACAATCGCTTCGTTAATTATTGCGTACTTAAAAAAAATAAAAATTAGCCAACGCAGCAAATTAAATAAAGGTACGTGACAAGCAAAAGTGTTAATATTAAATAAGAAAATGCAGAAGTTTGATGTATTTTTGAATTTATTAAATAATTTTAAATGTATTCTAATATAAATATACAATAAAAAAATTTGTGTTTATAATGTAGAAACATAAAACCTGTTACTAATAACACGTAAATACATAATACAACCAAATATAAACTGTAATATAAACTGAGTAAGATATCTACTTACATGCTTTGTCAAAACCCATAATTTAACAATGTAATAGATTATATAGAAATTGTAATTTTTGCAGTGTGTTCGAATCCATACATACTCTGTTTTGGACGGGTTTTGGTGAGGTCGATCTCGAAACCTTTGATCTACCAGGAATGAAACCTTACACTAGATTCTGGGCACTTTTTATGTTCGCTACTTATTCAGTAATTAACGTCACAATTATGTTGAACCTGCTCATCGCTATGATGTCCAATTCCTATTCTGTCATTGAGGTAAACCTACCTACACATTTTTTTTTATCGCTACCATAAAACTAATAAACTGTGTACCTACGTCTTAACAAACTGCAGGGTCAATCGGACGTGGAATGGAAATTTTCCAGATCGAAACTGTGGCTGAGCTGTTTCGAAGAAACACCGACACTTCCTTCGCCTTACAACGTGTATCCAACTCTGAAACACTTCAAAAAGCTTTATTGTTTCGTATGGAAGGTTAAGAAAACTGACTCGTGGCCTCGGGTAAATATTTGATTTCTTGATTAAACAAAATAATTGCTACAAAACAATACTATAGTTGGGAATCCGTATCGATGAAATACGATGGTAATATTTATTTTTTTTTACGTGGAAATGGCGAAAATCTTTTTCTTTTACGTTTACCCAGTAACGCAGAACACGAGTCATTATATTTTTAAAGAAGACGAATCAAATATTTTCATAAATATTTATTTACATCTTAACCAATTATAGTGTCTTTATTGCAGTGTATACCTACCTACCTATTATAGATACCTATATTAATTACCTATTATAATATTTCTAACGAACTTTAATCGATTGATTGTAAATACCTGTGTAGGTACCCATTATAATAGAACTATGTTTATATCGATTAAAAGTTGGTGTGGTGTGATTATCTATGTTTTTGCATAACATTCGCACAACAATTATAGTTGATGTATGCAAAAAATATTTTTAAAAAAAGAATAAAAATAATTTAATTCTGCTATTACGATCGAATAAAGTAAATATAAACTAACCTTGTACGCTGTTGAATGTGTGTCTGTGCAGCACGTATGAATCATAATATATATTATATTATATAAAGGCATGATAATAATATTATTATATTATCTCAGACAAATTGATCTTTGGGTATTTTTTTATATAAAAAAAACTATTTAAATGTCTATGATTTCTGACCATTATAGCCACGAGTTAATTTATTATTATACTGAATATGTAGTGAAATACAATTCATGTGACTGCTATTAATAACTGTCAAGAATATGCGCTGATGTAAGAGTATACAAATTAAATTGAACATGTCAAACTCGTGTATAATAATTTTCGGGATATCACATCATTATACAATTATCACCTAGATCCAACTTTTGGGGATCAGCTAAGAAATCAAATTTTAACAAAATTCAAACATTCCAAAATAATATCACACTTCTCGTTCGCAAGATTACAAATGCTCCACCCTTCGCCTTGATAATCTGACCCCCAACAAGTACCTAGCAATCAAAACAATTGAAGACAAGCATCAATCTTTTATAAAAGCTTTATACTAGATTAGAAAACCAGCAATAATTTTGGAGAAAAAAATCTTTTTTGAACTTTTCGTACTATAAGCCAATCAGTCGCCTTAACTCACTGACGGATCCAGGGGAAGGATGTAGGAGCCCAGCCCCGCTCCAGACATGTTATTTCCCAATTTTTTTTTAATAATTCCACAGACCCTGATATTACTATGTTTCAAATTACATGTATGTCTGATAATATAATATATGATTATATACAACTCTGGAGTGCACAAACTAAGATAGTACTATCTTAGTTCATGGTGGACAATGGTTCCAATATTGTAATTTTACATTAACAAACAATTGTGCCCCCCCCCTAGATCTTTGCTCTGGATCCGTGCCTGCAGCTTAACTGAAAGTAGGTTGTAAGTTTTTCGAAAACATTTTATTTCTTTGACGTAATTTCATTTCTTCAAATATCAACCCATTTCAAGTTTTGTAATACATATTTGAGATCTTATCAGTGGCGGTTTTTAGGGGGGGCGAAGGGGGCGCTCACCCCCCTTGGATATTTTTTGCATGTCCTTTTTATAATTAAAATTACACTAAATGCTTGAATTTCTTTAATTATGGTGGGGAGAGGCCCAAAAATTGAAAATAGCCCCTCCTTGATGTTTTATCAAAATCGCCATTGGATCTTATTGTTGATTTCTGACAATTTCATCGTATTTATTTTAACAATTTTCCATGTCTGGAGAAAGTGTAATTAATAATAATAATTAACAAATAATTATACTTAATAGTTTGTTTATTAGTCAAAATATATACAATATTCTGATCAAACATTTTTTAAGATCAATTTATAACTCAACTTTGAAAATCAAAATCAACCTATTTGTTTTATTTGCAGAATGACAAAGATAATAATTTTATAAATAAAAATCAAAGGGAGAGTGAATTTGCCACTGTAATGCGAGCCCTCATCTGGCGGTATATTTCGATGAAGCATCGAGAAATGGAAAATATGGGCGTAACTGAAGAAGATGTTAACGAAATTAAGTCTGAACTCAGTACAATGAAGTACGACTTTTTAGAAGTACTCCGGAAAAATGGCATGGAAGTGCCCAGCGATCATCGGAAAAAGACCAGTAAGTATTCACTAAATGTATATTACTTTTAAGAATTTTTAAAAATAGTACATCAAACAATTATTTTTCTTATTCAAACAATAATTGGTTTCAAAATTGAAACATACATAAGTATAAGTACTCTATACATAAATATCAAATTTTCCCCCAAACAACAAGAAATGGTTTGGTTCACTCTGCAGCTAGTTGTGTATTTTGGACTAAATTTAGAGTACATTTTAATAATATTAATCTGCTATACCAATATAAGACAGAATTTTTAAAATTTCAACTAAATAACGCATACCATATAAAATGGATCGTCCGCCCATCCATAGGCCATGCACTAAATTGTTTGAATCGGTTGATAATGAAAAAACACTTATTATCTATACATATTTAATATTTATGTTTGATTAAAATATTCAGATAATTATTACTAGGTACCTACTGTAATAACTAATAACTAATGGTGGTTGTCGTTAAACCTTGATAACGTGTGTGGTACCTACCTATCTAACTTGTATTTTGTGGGCGAGTGGTGAAAAAATGACCCGACAAAAAAAATAATTTCACTTTCTTATAATAATTATATGCTTAAACATCCAATACCTTTAGAATATGGTCACATAAGTTAGTTTTATACTTTAACTGCATCAACAAAATTCACAATTCAGATGTTTGCAACCATATTAACGAGTGTGGGGGGGGAGGTGAAAACTCAACTCGTTGATATCGAATCTATCGTTATGTATAAAACGAGCATATTATTATACTGATAAGTGATAATAATATTGGAACTTGACAATGACACTTATCAGTACTCAGTAGCAAGAAAATACTTGAAAAATTAGTTCCAATATAATACATATTATCTTCAACCTGCAGATGGACATCTGTTAAGTTATAATTTCACATTTTACATTTTTCCCCTCGTGCATTACACTAAACTGAAAAACTATTTAGGCCATGTCTTTAATTTTATTTCTATAACGATAATCAAATAAATATAATAGTATGCGTTAGTTGAAACGTTGATAATTCTTTCTAATATTAAACATACAGATTAAACTAATTTAAATTCACTCCAAGACGAGTCCAAAATACACAACTAGCAGAGTGAACACGAGCACAGGTATACTCAAATAAATATTATATACGAATATAGGACTATTTGCGAGAGAACAAATTTCAGGATAAGATGTAGTGTAGAAGCTATTTGCTGTAACGAAACGATTATTTTTTATTTTCGATCTCGAAGTCACTGCGCTAAGCAAATCAATAATAATAAATAATTATAATATCATATTTTCATATTTTCATCCCTCAACTTGTTTCGAAAACCTCGTCAAGAAATCGGACGGTGTTTTTCTCCGCAACTCATTGTGATGTACTTGTATTATACATACATATAATCGGGCAAGGAATAGACAGAACTCGGTTAGGTGTAACTGTGATGTAGGAACTTCATGAAAGGTTGTATACCGAAACTATTGTTATCAATATAGTAAATTGTAATCAGGCAAAAGACGACTATTCAACTCAATAAAAAAATACAATTATCCCAAACATTTTATTGTAAAGGGAATTTTTAAGCAAAAACGATTATTTTAATTTGATGTACGAATTAAGCCATTATTGCTCGTTCTTCTTTTATTATTAACAGGATGATATTTTGTTCTTCGAAGTGCGTTCATTACGTTTTCGATAAGAAAATGATTTATTAAGTAGACACTAGCTGCACAACCCAACTTTGCCCCGGAAAAAATAAATTAATATAAAATACAGCGACTTATAGTTGTATCTCGTTTTTATTATGAGTACCCCAGTTCACGGGAAAATCAACATCGGTGTACCTCGCTTTGAGGAATAATTTGACCGTTATGTGCAATATGTATACGCTTATGTGGCACTTGGCATAATTTCAACCGTCGTTCAAACTACAACTTTCTACATTTTTCTGGTTTTTTTAAGGACGACCTCTAAAGTTTTGGTAAAAATTGTCAAATCATTTTTGCGTCTATAAGCTACAAACATTTATTTCGTCGTACATTTGTGCAACAAACAAATTCATTAAATATAATAATATTTAAACAAAATCCCATAGCAACGCATGGCGAGTTGGCTATTCTACACCAATTTTGTTTTAAGGCTATTCCTGTAACCTATAGATATTAGATAATCTATATATTAACAAAAAAATTATTCAATTTTCGTGAACCAAAACGAACTTCATGTGTGATCAACTATGCCAACATATATGGGTTGAAAAACGAGGCAAAAAAACACTCCTCGAATCTCGAAGAATTTGGTTCCAATTGGTCCAATAGTTTCCAAGTCAATAAGCTCAATTCAAACGTAAATTCATGAATATAGATTCAAAATGTGATTCAGAACTAGGCACCTAACTAGCTTTGATCAACATAAATAAAAATGTATGGTTCAGTTTAAATTGAGATAACACATTTGCATATCTATTTTAGTATTTTTAATTAACTACAGAGTGTAAATACCTATGTATTAAAATTATGCACTACAAAACTGCTTCTACATTTTTATGGATTTGGGATAAAATTTAAATCATAAAATCTGAATTTTGCTCTTACTGTTTAAAAGTTGCAGATATTTAACAAACCATTGAAAACTATACATTGTATTATAATCAGAATTATATCTTGGGATTTTAACCATTTGCCTAACTTGTGAAAAAAAAGCAATCGGTATCAGAAGTAGTAAACCCTTATTACCTATAATTACGCGAATTATTCAATTAGTGATATTTACACACATAAATAGATCCATAAAGCCATAAAGGTTTCCATAAACAGAAATCAAAAAAATGTGGCTCTTTGCTTTATGATTAATGTATAAAGCCTATCTTATTCCCTCAACTTTTAAGCCACGTTATAAACAATTTTATATCACAGACACAAATATTTACCAATGTTTTAATAATAACTTAATTTGTATGAAAACTTTTGATATAATATCAATTTGAACCACTCTGTATAAATGTATATAAATTATAATATTATTGAACACGTAGAGAGGAATGGTAAAGAAAATTTATCATTTTTGTATTATCTTTAAGATAAAAAAATACTATACATTTTATCTCAAATAAAAATAATTAATCGAATTAATTTAAATGATATTCTTTAATTTTTTTTTTTATTTACTTCAACAGTTTATAATGTAATAGTTATAAAAAAAAATGAGTACTTATCTCGATTCATTTCAGCTTATCGTTTGTTTGCCTTATGCGTGTATATTTTATTTAAATAATTGTTTTGCTACCTGCCTAATTGTTTACCCTTAAATAATATTTATAATGTTCAAATATAAATATGCTCAAAATTATCATATGATATGTAATTTGTATTACCTATTAAAAGTGTTTGTTTTTCAATCAATTGATTTGTGTACATCAAAAGTCACTGCTTACAATTTAAATTGTACAAATTTTTCAAATTTTCACATTTATAAAATATGTTTATTTTTTTCATACGTATTCAAATTTGAAATTTACGGTTCACCAATGACGTTATTTTAAATAATACGATATAATAATAATAATAATAACAATAATAATATTAATAGTAATATACTTACAGCCTACTACATTATTTACAGGAAATATACATTTCAAATTATAAATAAATGTTGTCAATTCTAACACATTATTTTCTGCCTATCTTCGAGTAATAAAAAAGTGTAATGATAATATGGAAATGTATGTTGATGTCTTAAATCTTTGTAGATTTATAGTATGAGTTAAATATTTAACATATTATAATATTATACACATATAATTTTAATTGAAACATGAATTAAAGTGAACAAAAGTATTCCTTAATTTATTAATTAATTGTAGTATGTCATGAACTCTGGCCAATGGGCAGAGTCCAGAAGTGTTATTTTATTGTTATTAATTATTATTAGTGATTATTTTACCAATTGTGTATAGAAAATTATTAGAAACTATAAAAATATAGATTTCTATAGAATATTATGTAAGGTTTAACTTATTATTTATATTTTCGTCATATTATTAGTTATAAATGCATTTTAACATATTACAATTTATTATACAGTTTTCTTGCTTCAATGAAATAAATTAGGTAATAGACCATCCAAATTCCTGACCACACACACTCCATTCATTGATTAGTTAAGACCACTTGACATTTTGACAATCCGCTATACGAGGAAATCCGTGACACAATATACATTTTTAATTAAATAAAAAACATTGTTGATGCAAATGCATTGATATTTGATACACATGTTTCACCGATATTATCATAAGAATACCAAAAATAAATTTGAACATTATTACATAATACCTAAAATTTAAAACTACGATAAGGAAACGAAAACATTAGAGAACAGGAGACGTGATTCCAGTGCTTAAAAAAGATCGATTAATTAATTTTAATTAACCACGGTTAAAGCTATTCATTTTAACTCTCGAAGGTGCAATTAAAAAAGAGTTATAACACGAGAAAGTTATCATCGAAAAAAAATAATTTAAACTAATATCTACATATTATTATGTTAGTAAATATATTATTATATATATAACTGATATCGACTGTTAGTGCGACATTCGGAGTGTTTATCATTTCTTTCCGAACATTAGCTTTGAGTGTAAATGGCAGTACGATGAACTATAGATCGATTTAGTATTAACTGAAATATTTAATTAGCAGGTAATATATACGTCATAGTAATTTGTAGATGAAAATGATTTGATCTCGACGTTTTAGTGATTTATTAAACGTATATCATCGTCATTTAGTATTGTATATCAATACATCACCAGAGCACGTTCAGGTCCTAATTAACTGTAGATATTTTGATGTGCATATTATTGAAGTAACGGTCAATTCGTTGCTAGAAATTTGTATTTGTATTATATTTTACGATATATTATGAACGATGTCCCAAGAACTATAATTACCTGTACCACTTCTATAGTTACTTGGTATCGGATTGACATCAAAAATATATGCTAATTTAGAAAAAAAAGATATAAAATAAAAACGTTTTAAATCATCATTACTAATAATATGCGTACGTATACCTATGTTATAACGTTATTGCAAAACGTGCAAGAGAAACACGCCGCATGTACCTGCTGGTTGCTACTGTTGTCACCCAACAAATTGTGAGATTACTATTTTATATAGTTATTGAAAGATACACGTTGTAGTTCAAATTTCAAAATATCATACATTATATTTACGTATGTGGTTCTGTCCTAAGCTACTTATAAATTATAAAACACTTTTAATTAAAATCAAATTTACTTTGACTGTTTCACGAATAGTCAATACAACTCGTATATACCTACTCCTTTTTTATGGTCATAATTAAAAACCGTATTCCCTACTATTGTTCTTACAGCTGTACCTTCACAAATAGTGAAATTATTCTGATTGGCTTTGGCGATAGACATAGTTATTGTATATACTAACTGGTTAAGTAAAATTTTCAAAATCTGAACTCAAAGTTTAGGCCATATCTAAAAAATAAAATATTTAATGATGGATAATATGATAAGTACATAGTAGATACTATACAGTAATACAAATTTAAGCTCAATCAAAAAATATCAAAGTTTGTGTATTAACCTCCTAAAATACTAGAATCACTAGACCCAAATCATAACTTATATACCACTCCCCTATCGTCTGAAAACTGTGTTCGTGACGTAGTTAATCATGTACTGCTGTTATAGTATTGTAGATACTAACCTACTGTTATATAGATATTATATTATAATTTATAATTCGTTTTCTCGCGCAGTGGACAAAAAATCCAAAATCTGGGAACGACGGTTGATGTCAGACTTTTACGTGGCACCAGTGTTTCCGGGTGGCAGCGTTTGCAGCAGCAGCATCGATGATGTCTCGCTCGAACATCGATTGCGGCCGATCGATCGTTTCCGTAAGGCTGTCCGGATGGTGGCAGCCAACTCGGCGTCCGGCAGATGGCGGACTACCATATGTGGCGTGTATCAAAAGTAAGTAGGTACCAATAGGTACCATACACCTTATACTGAGTATTATTTTTGTTATAGTATTTGCTTATACTAGTAAAAGATCTATGGTAGGTACACACAAGTTACATGTAGCCATATAGGTACCTCCCCGAAGTAATGTCACTTAATGTTCTATCGCAGGTGAAACAAAATATGTCATATGATTTGTTATAACTTAAATATAAATAACTCAATAGTATGAACAGTGTTCGGGAATTAAATAGCTGTGAAAAAAAATTAAAATATACGCGTATAATAGTATAATCATAAAAAAAATGTAATATTGAAAGTATTACAATTATAAATGCGTTAAAAACGAAGAACAAATGAACATAATAATTTGTAATTGGCATTATAGATTTTTAGATATAATGAATATTATATGAAATATGAATACAAACGATTTTTCCTTTAAAAACTAACAATTACTAAATTACTAGCTATGTATAACTAAACCATTTAAATCAAACCACCTATCATATTGCAATTGCAGCAATTGAATTGCTTATACTTAGTAATTTGTTACACAATTTAACACCATAGATTTTTATGTTAACGTTATTGAACTTGAATTGGAAAAGAGTAAAATAAATTATTTCATTAAAATATCAAACCTTACTTTGTATGAGATGTGAGAGTTTATTTTTTTAATTAGTCAATGAAAATTTAAATGATTTGATTTTGACCAATATACAATATTAATTTTGGCTTAAATGGGTACCGAAAAAGTCAAAATATTTTTTTTTTAAATACCTTATTGTAGAAAATTCCATAAAATAGCGTGTTAAATTAAATATCGAGTTTAAATTCCTATTAATAATTCCATGCAAATATTTATAATCAATGATAATAATTAAAACTATAGGTATTTTAGTATTTGTATACTAATCAATCTATGTCTTATTACAACCAATTCAGGTATACGTGGTTGCTATATGTGTTAAACTATGCAGGTTTTAACGTTATCCGAATTTCACTAGATAAAACAAGAATTGTTCTGATGATTTTTAAAAAGTCACTAAATAATTTGTACTTTTAATTGTTCTTATAATATCACTCACACAAGTGTATAGATTTTAATTTATTTTTAGATTTTTCTATTATCTAGTGAATATTAATAAGTAGTAATAGAACCTACTATTAAAATTTAACAGGTTGATTGCCACGAACATTTTAACATACTTGCCAAACATAATATATGGATCATACTAGATTCACAGTTCACACTAGATTTTTTTTGTGACATTTGTGTCGAAAGTATTGAGGGATATTGTGACGCACTATTGGGTCATTTTTTTAGTTATTTCTGGATCGATTCTTTAACAGCAAAATTTAACAAAATATAACAAAATCATTAACTTTTTCAAAAACATTTTGGCAAACATCGTGTGACCCAATAATAGTCTACATACGGAGCATATTATGGCAGTCAACATGTTAAAAACATTTTTAAAGCACGTTTCTTTTGAATATTTATGTGTATTTAAGCAATTTTTAAAGAATGTAAGTCCACGTCAAATATTATCAAAAAAATCAAAACCATCTGCAGGATTTAAAATTGTCCACAATGTTTAATTTATTGTGAGTAATTTGTATTATAATCTGTTCTAGAGCCTTTCGAGATGTGTGCAAGGTTTTTATTCGCAATGTTTTCTTTACATTAATTGTAATACAATATTTTGATGTGTGTGTATTTTTGCACAACGTTGTGTAACTATACAGGTATATAATTTGATGATAGGATTATCTAGAAAATAAAAATAATTATCCAATAATTGGTTATTACTTATTACTTATTAGTTATTATAAATTTATCATAATTGTTTATCAAACGATGATTTTCCTGTATAAATTTAATTGGTCCAAACGGGTTGCAAATGTTTAATTATGATTGTTTCCGAGATTTCTTAGATGCGCAGCCCATATTGTCTATTTGGATAACTAGGTATCAGTAAGGTATATAATAATATTATTATCAGAATTGTAATATTACTTTTTATTTTACATTATTTTTTTTTTATTCTAAGAAAAAAAAGACCCTCGGCTACATGAGCCATAAGGTTTACAGTCTTACAGAAGATATGTTTAATTAATTGTCTATGCTTATTCTAATTCTACATTTTTATATCTTGTTTTGAAGATAGGCTGCTGTGATGAATTTGATGATGTTAGAAATGAATTGAGGGTGATAGTTTAGTATTTCGGCTTGTGATTCGGGCAGGTTTTGGCTTTTGGTTTTGGATATTGTGGTATGTTCCGCATTCGGTGAGAATAGCCACGATGGCTTAGACACCGCTGGATGTGCACATTGGAGGTTCTTCCTTGGCCATTAGGACACTGTGGGAGATTTGCCTGTGTCTGATTCTGAGTCTCGTTAAAATGACTTCGAATTTTCTGTGAATTTTTGTAGGAAAAATCCAATTGTCTATATTATGTTTAATATGATTTAATTTAGTATAGTAAGATACTATAGTATGTACACTTCTGATGCATCTTAGTTTACAATTTATTTGTCATAAGTGTTCGTATGTCCCTGAGTGAAGTAATTTGTGTGGACGATGATAGTGGAGAGGTGATTGCAGCTTTGGCTGCGAAATCAGAGAATTCGTTTTCTCTTATGCTAGAGTGTCCTTTATATTATTTTGTGGTCGTCAGAACCTGCGAAACGTTGAAAGCAAAAAACTCCTCGCCAACTATAGCTAAGATTGTTCAGTTGTTGTATTGTTAAAATTTAACAATAAAAGTTATACGTGTATAACGAATACTGCAGTCTTCGTACTATTATGTACCTATAAATACCTATAAGCGAATAAATTAATTATTACAAAAATCATTAGACGTACTACAATAGTATAAGTGTGTGCGGTCGTTGAATTTTGCAGTTCTCCGAAATCCCGTCCTTATCCAATGTCTATTTTTTGCATCGTGATACCTATCATCATAAATATACACTAGACGGTATTGTTTATTGTTCATGTGAAATATTACAATAGTGTCTATCACGGCGGGCGAGCCATTTTCGTACACTCAAATTAGTGTATTATTATTAGTAGGTACTACAGTATCAATGAACTATTATGTGTAGACACTGAAGTCACCTGATTAATGTTCGTACTACTAAAATAATTTAACACCATATGCGTGCGTTCGTAAGACTATTATAATTTTATAATATCTATTATCTATGATAACTAATAAGCAATGTTTTTACTAACCTACAGTGTTATTCGCAACTGTCGTTTCCCGCCGTTCGTGTGGACGATTTCTGGAAGTTTTCGAGGGTATAAAATATTACATCAGCTACCCTAATCAAAATTTCGGGGGTGAAAGACCGGTGGCGGTGAGATTTTTAAGGCTATACAATAATATCATATTGCTGCACAGTCAAGCCCAAAAGCAATTTTCCCTGCGTTAAAGTAATTGCCAATGTCGTACATTTTTCCACAGCTCAACTAATTTATATAATTAATTTTAAACTATAACTCCGGTCTCGCCGAATCTATTCTGAGTATAGGTTCGATTTGGAAGACCGGAAATAATGTGTTCTAAATAAATAATTAAATAAATGCATTAGTTTTAATCTCGTACACGATAATAATATATCATTGTTGGTCTGAAAACGAAACCAAACAAACCATAATGTTCTATAATTGTTATTAAAAGTATGCTCGTAATATACCAACTGCATAATTTTATTGCGATAAGTAACAACACTTTATGCTGACTTTTCCACAGCTCGCCGATCGGTACCACGGCCGGGCTCGGGTCCGTCGTCAACAAGCAGAACCTCAAGTGGGCCATGAACGAGGTGTGGGCTTCCCGCGAAAAGCGGTCGTCGGCGAGTCTAGAGCCGGCGGCGGCGAACGCGCAGGCTGCCATTGTCGCGTCGCCGTTGTCGACTTCGTACCCGTTCGAATTGCCGGAGCGCCGGAGCACCCTGCGCGCGCTCATCGATGAGTTCCGCCGCGGCGAGCACCAACTCCACCGCGGGCCCGGCGAGGGCGCTTCGTCGTGGGCGGCCCCGGCGCCGGTCCGCGGGCAACTGCTGAAAGCGCCTCAGCCGCCACGCCAAAGTCCGCAGCTGCAGCCGGCCATGAGGAAATCCGCGTCCGTCTGGTACGCCGCGCCCCCGGCGCCCGACCGGCCGCTGGTCACCCGGATGAGCATGCCCAACCTGAGATCTTCTGGATCCACCGTCGACCGTCGCCAGCAGAACCCGCAGCACCACTCCGGACCCATACTCGAGTGACACCGACACGCATACCAACCGATGCAGTCGCGTGTCCCGGGGATTATTGTTTTCCCCTTTTAAATCGAAGCCAAACTCGACGTGACCTGCCGGTACGGGACGGCTTTACTTGGAAGTGAGTGGGGTTGGGGTTTTGTTACCTTTTTACCACGGTTTATTGGTTTACATAATTGTTCGAATGAATATACATCATCAATAATGTTTAGTAGACATAATGCGATTTGAAAAATTGTTAAAATAAAATAATATAAATATTTTGTTAATTCTGTGGAAGAACTGCATTGTTTTTTATATATACAAAAACGAGGGACACCACCGTAATACTGAGTATAATAAATAGTAAAGTGCTAATAAAAAGCAACGGATATTTATTTTATGCCATCCGAGTACCACCCTACTATTTTTTCTTCCAAGTCAAGCACTTTGTTGCAGTGGCCTCCGATCTGCCGACCATTTATATTATATTACTGCAATTATAGGTCGTATAATATACATACGTAAGACTGCTGTGTGGCTGAGTAAACGGTAAATTGCCATCTATTCGTCTGTCTTTTGATTTCTCCGAAGTTCGGCGGCCTCCGAAAAAACAGAACATTACAGATGGTACACCTGTAAAGCAAAGTTATTAAATTTTGTTTTTCCACGGTTAGAAGTAAAAATTATAGTCGAAAAATTTCTTCCGCATCGGTTGCGCCTGCCAAAATTAATTTCACTAATGTATTCATTCCAATAATAAGAATACTTCTAAAAAAGTGAAATTAAAAAGTGAATTAATATAATATATATTTTCAACTTTGACTATGCCCACAGCTCTTAGTCGTACACTTTTACGTGGGACAAAGTGGTTTAGAGTAGTTTGTGTCAACCGATATTTTCAATTTATTCATGTTGTGTTTGTGAATATATTTTATCTCTTTATAAAGCCAATTGTTCGTACAAACTTAAAACGTTATCTTCCGATTTTATTCAAATGTCTGCGTGTGCTCATGCCCCAGGCAGAAAACTACAGGACACATTCAAGCATAATTGAAGGTAAGTTTAATGTTATACATTATTTGTTTTTCCGCTAAATAGATCACAATATTATAGTTCAGTGAATCACGCGTAACCGTATAGGTATAGGTATACTCTATACTAAGTATTGAATACTCAAACTAATCGGTAGTAACCATTTTCCCCGGAAAAGTTCATCTTTGCTATAGGTATCATTAAACATTTACCTAACACCAATTATTCTAAAAAAATATTTCAAATCATGAAAATATTAATGTCTTTTTCAAAATAAAAACAATGTTCACAGGAAGATTTAAACTTCTACGGTACCTATGTATTATTACCTGTCTTATTCATTTAGACAATTTGTCACTCAGGTTATACAACTTAGAATTGAGCACTTGATGCACTCGGTAAACGTCTGATATTGTTTGGTCTCGTATTTATTATTTAAACACTGTCAATTTTACGTAATTTATGATTAAAAATGTATCATTATTATGTATTTTAATCAGCATACCTATACATGAAACGTTTTATTTATAGCGTTGCCATAAATGTTTTATTAATATATCATTATACTAATATTATATATTCATGTATACATTATTAATATTATGTTTAATACACGATGATTTATGAACAAAACATTTTCTCGATAACATGATTATTCGTGACTATAGTCATAATCTTCCTATAAAAACAAATAAAACGATTGGAAAAACAAATACAGCTCAAATACGATTTTTCACTGAAGAACAATGTGATTTCCGCCGAAACCATTCTACAATAGACACCTTTAAAACTGCATCCTGACACAAGTGATATAAAATATAACATGTCTGTTTGATCTCGTTGGATAAAGAAAAAGCCAATGACATGACATGGCATAACAGAATCCTTAAAATAATCCTAAGAGTAAAACATCAATGGGAAAATCTTTCTCTTTTTAAAAAATGTTTAAGTAACCGCGCATAATGCCGGTCATAGCACTTAATGAGGTTTCTATATCTACCCAACTGAAAATGATATCCCTTAATGATCAGTAATAAGTGTCACAGTGTTTTTATAATAGCAATAACGATATCTCCTGCAAAATACTAAACCACACTAAATATAGATGCTATTATGTTTGCTGACTACTTCCATATGTATTGCAATGGAAAGAGCTTATAAACTATATTTAAATCACTACAAATTCAGTATACATACTCTTAAAAACTGATCCGATGAAACTGTCTTTAAATTTTACCCTACCAAAAGTCAATGCATCATTTTTTATTTTAAACCAGAAAAAAATAAACAGCTATTTCTAAATAATGCATCAATCCTTATATTTAAAACCATAAGAATAGTATACAAATAATATTCGAGAACAATCTCAATAATAGACATTTCATTTGAAACAATTAAAAAACTAATACGGAAATAAAATTAATGTAATCCTATCCAAAATCAAATATGGTTCACAAATATACATCATAAATAAACCCAAACTTCTCAAACTATTGGACCCATTTCACAACGTGACAATTCAAGCTTCAGGACAAGCAAAATTGACAGCATTTTAAAATTACGGCAGAAAAAAAATACCTAGGTTAGGTAATTAAATACCTCATACAATCAAAAAATGACACACCGCCAATTTCGACAGACGATAAGACATCGCAATCACCCGCATCAGAATAATCGGACACTCCTTCATCACACATTCATATTTAATTACTTAAGAACGCCAACCAATACCTAACCTACAGCATAACACTAAAAACTAATAAAAAAAAAAATATGCCTAATATACGAATTTCAATGACAGGCTATGTTATATGTATAAATAATAAATGTATTAATGTTTCATTATTTAAAAATATTAAGATCGGTGATTTTGAATGCTTCGTATATTATATTTAATAAAAAACAAATCAATGTTAATACGACAACAACTTTAGATAATAGGATTTATTTTCTCGTCAAGAAAATAATACGTTTGCATTTTACGGCTGCGACGACCCAAAGTTTTGCGGTTTTACCCGGGTTTAAAGGTTTTGCTGTTATCATAATATAAATATAAGTATAGGTATTGCAGTGGTTCCGTATGATGAAAAACCGCCGACTGTCTCGATTATTATGATATACATATTATATATATGCACTTGCACACTTTCTGTGCACCTACATATTTATGTGTGATACGAATCATAGTATTTTATAATTATAGATAGATTATTATTATTATTATTATTATTATTATTATTATTACCTGCTACCTGCAGTACATGCATATAGTGCGGATTCGTAATGGTATTTCAATTTTATTCGTTGTACCTACCTTTATCATAATCATTGGCCCAGGCGCGTGTTCAAAAAAATACATATCAAATTTGTCTGTTTGAATTTTTTTTTCGTTTTTGCATTCAGAAAATGACGAAGCGCACGAGCACGCGTTACACAACGTTATATATAGTAATACCTTAAAACATTAAAATTATAATATAATATCCACCAAAGTGTTATCAAACGAGAGTTTTTGTTTTATGCGAACAGATAAAAATGTTACTAGCTTATAATAATACTAATAATTATTCTTGACAGATAAAATAGCGACAAGGACACAGATTTGTAAATTTCATACCCTCGGATACGAAATTAGCTCCGAGCCAGACACTGTAAAATTAGAGACAAACCAGTTATTTTTACAACCCGATCCAGCGAATAGCGGCGTATCAAAGGGATACATTAATTTATAAACCGAACAATTAAAAAAAAAAGACTAGCTAGTGTAAAAAAAAATCGTCAGCATAACGTTGCCAAATCATACATGTTTACATACAGAAATTAAATTGTTATGTGCTCAGATGAATTTGCGTATTGTCACTCCAAAGATTTTGTTACATTATAAGCTCGCCCTTTATCACGCCAGTATTAGTATTGGATGAAACTTACTCGAGCTAAACAAAAATGTACCTCTGACTGAGATTACATCAAGTTAAGAAAACATTAAAATTAAAATGTATGGGAAATTAAAAATACAAATTTTTTTTACCTATACTCATCATAATAGTTATAATTCATGAAAAAATAACTATTTTATAGTATATTGTAATATCACCAGTGTTGAATAATTACACTGCAACGCAATTATTGTATTATAGTATATGATTATATAGTTTACATTTTACAAGACCTCAATGACGGACATAGTCAATTGATATTATCAGTGCCAAAAAAAAAACGTCACATGCATCTAAAAAATAAAAAAGTTTGATTAACAAACTTATTATACATTCATAACATTTAATATGATGAATCGATCATTACGAATTCGTATCTTGAGCTCTATAATAATTGTGAGGAAAAAAAGATGCCAATACATATGATAAAATGTGTTATAGGTATTTAATAACAATAATAATAATTTATCATATTATAGGTAGGTATAATATAATAATATGCCTCTTTGCGTTCACCCGTAAAATTCCTTTTCTATCCTGTTTTGTTATTCTTATTTGTCTTCAATACGTACAATTCCAAATTCCAAAACAATAGCGTTATAATATAGTATTGTGTGTAATAAGAAATAATACTAAGAATTGATTAATTTAAATAAATTGATATTATTTAAAACCTATTAAACAGTATAATCAGTTTTTATTAAATACTTCTATATATATATATATATATATGGGTGCATAATCCAGTCTAGCTCTTGTGTAAATTGTAAACGTTTCTCGTACAAGATGAGCCCTGCGGAGACAGGTGAATGGCGTATATAATTCAAGGATCAAATCATATCGTCTTAAGCGTCGCCGCCATGCGCCACTTCAGAGCTTGCAGGTGTATTAAATTAAATCCCATAAAACTGTGAGACGCCGATCGTTAATTTTTTACATTGCATGAGTCGCATCACCAGTGCAAGTGCAGGGCGAGTGCATTAGAGGTTTTATGCGTAGGCAACATTTATAATATTTACTTAAATGAGTCATTGATATATGGTCTTAATAATTGTACACTGTACATATTATAACGTTAACGATTATTCAACACAAAAACAAATTTCGGCGAAATCGAAATATTATTTATAATTATTAATAAGTACAATAATTTAGTGCAGGTCAAAAACCGGTAACACATACTCGTATCGGGATACGTACTCAGGTAATAATATATGAAAATAACAACATCTAAGATGACTAAAAACATTGCTGAACTGAATTTTTTATTATTTGGAAAACCGGCAAAAACTTACGACAGCGACGTCGGAAATACCTTCAAACAGA